ATGAGGTGTGTTATGAGCGGGATCACCGATATTGAAGGCACGATAAAGGAGCTTTTATTGACACTTAAACCCGGTGGCTTTCTTATAATTATAGACGGTGATCGCTTTATGGAAACTGATCAAACAAAAGTCATGGCAGTGGCTAAGGTTGAGGGAGATGAGATAGATTCCAGTTCTAGTGAAAATGGCTCGTGGTTGGCGAGGATAGCGTACGGTGAGTTATATGTCTAGGTGCCAACGAGATTTAGGCTCATCGTGAATAGAGGCAAGTACTGCCAATGCTATCAGCGGAGCTGATATTGTAAAAGCTTGTGATGTCATTGATCTTGGCCTGTGGGATCACCCACTTTGCGATCCCGAGACTGCAGGTGGTGGTTCTTTGTACATTCCAATAGGTCCTTGGATGAATGGTTGGTCTATCACCTCTCGACTTGGATCATATTCAAATCTACAATAGATCCAAACAATATATCATCACAAAGGTTACAACTTGCGGGATTATTGCTGCAGAAGACATTTTTGAGCTCGCATCTTGCGTGGCACCCGATACTTCTAAAGCACGGAATGAAGGAGCACGTCTTAACAGAATGGTCGCGGAACATTGATTATGGTACATCTATATCTTAATTTACGTCATACATGCATCTTACACTCACAGAACTACGCAATATGATCCATAAAATGTGGTGCCGATATCGATACTGCTTTGCTCGACGGCGGTCTACTGATGGATCAAAAGCTCCGAGCTTACCCTCTCCTCCTCAATTTTCTCGTTTGCCCCCAGGTCTATCCGACCTCGAGATATTCCATGAGGGCTCGAAACTCGAAGAAAGCCTAAACCTTCCTTACCCAGCTGTATACCCATATAAAGATAGAGATCATGCGCTCGCCGAAATGAACCGACGGAAAGATATACTCGCAAAATTTCCGAAGGCTGTCGTGGCAAAGTGTTGGGAGGAACAGAAAAGGACGGATATCAAGGAGTAGGGGAAACAAAGGACATAGATGGGGACGAATTTTAAGAGGAACCTCAATTTCTCAGCAACAGTTTAGCTGTAATCATAGATATCACCCGTAGTAAATGTGATTCTATTGAGGGAGTTTGGCCATGAAATCACGCGGTCCCTTACCTCGTCCGCCTATATCTTCGTTTGTCAGAAAATTAAAGAAAATGTTTCAAATAGCCTGGTAGCTAAGATAACCATACAAAGTCGATACATATTACAAGGGTTATTGATTAACCACCTGGTGACTAATGTCTTTTGGGCAGGGCCATCTTGTTTGTCAACTGTACAATAATCCGACCAGCCTCTTTGATTATTGTCTGCCCTCTAAAGGGTCAATAGAAACCCTCAGGGAGAGGTTACAGAAGTCGCATCAGTGGACAGCGGTTGGTGTATCTGTTGCTGCATTAAACGCCAGTTTCTCTCAACCATCATCTCCGGTAGCTCTCCTACGTTTAGTTGTCGCTTTTCACGCGCTTTCCTAGCTTCTTCTGCGGTCGTAAAGATTTCGATTGCTGGATATCTGTGTCCAGGGGGACGGCAAAAATCTTTCAGCTCGGGCGAAATGGGAGGCGAGCTCAATCTTATCGGAGTAAGCGGGGGCGTTTCTAGTGGAGATGATCTCCCAGAGCGTTTGGGGAGTGATGGAGCAGGGAGATCGTCACCTGCACGGCGACGAGCCCAACAAAACCGAAAGCGGACCCATAACTTCTTTGAAGTAGTTATTTCTAGATTTAAATGTTAATTGGAAAGATCAATAGATGTACAAAGATGGGCTGAATAGGACGAAGACGGAGGGATAGCTGTGATAGAGATTATACTGTCACTCACCTTGGTCTACCTGTCGAGACCACTCGTTTAATACATCCTGACTCATCCCATATTGCAGAAGGATTGGATGATAAGCACGGTGTATATTGAGAAAGCTTTGGCGCATCAAGGCTCCTCCATACTGCAGCATCTGGGTATCCATAGTAGAGAACCCTGCGGAATTTCACATCATAAAACCAATCTCGTGATAGTAGAGAGATGATGTAGACAATAATCACACACCTTTTGCCCATGGCCCTATTGGTAAATACAGCCCCCCGGCTCTAGCCGTCTCTGGATCCATGAGAGGATAATCCCAGAGTCCCAAATCTATCAATTCACTGGAACGATGCACGCAAGAGCCCGCAATTCCACACGCCACGCACGCCTCTACCAGTAAGAGATGGAGATGAGAATCAATAATGAATCATAAGAACCAGAAATGCTTACCTAGTACCATCCTTCGTAACCAAGATCCATTGTCACATACTCCACTAACATCCGGATCCCCAGGTAGCCTTTTTAATCTCGCTGGCTTCTCTTTCGTTTCGTGGATATTATAGTCGCCCTCAATGATGAGTAAAACTCCCCCCGGTTTGAGGCATTTTTGGTACTCTACGATTGTTCGGTCCATGTCTTTGATCCCACCTGAAACACAGCGAACATGAACTACATCGTATTGGTCATAGAAATGAGATAGACCGAGATTGATGTCGTCGATTTCGAATTGTAAGTTAGGTGGAAGTACACCGGTGTCCATGGGGGGCGGAGCAACGTCTACTCCTAAAACCGCTGCATGCGGAAAACGACGTGCCATCTCGGCTGCCCTAGTTAAGAATAAGTCACCTCCAAGGAAAGTATGGAAGGTGATCACATACCAGGAACCAGTTCCACATCCTGTATGCATATTAGTCTCGATAAGATTATACTTGGATCCTTGGACTGACCTATGTCAAGGATATACTTTGAGAGACCGTCAGTTGGATCCAGGATGGCTTCAATAACATCAGGGCAGGGGTAAAGTCCACCCATAGCAATCACCAACGCCACGCTCTGTTTCTCTCTGTAATAGACATTGTCATTAGATGAAGGTTGCTCTACGAAATGGGTATTTTCGACTCACAATCTCACCCATTCCGGTTCGTCTGCATGTTTAGAGTGGAGTTAGCTTCACCCCGATGCCAGTCTCATTTTACCCACCAGACGGTAGTAGATAGTTAGTAGCGAGGTTATTGAAGATCCTAATGGTGCATGTACTCGTTAAATACGGTCAAAAGCCGCGGAAGTAGGTAGGTGAAGTGATTTGATTTACTCACCTCCCGTTCACCTCCTTTACAAATTGTTTGATATCCCTGGTCGAATTGTAAGACAAAAGGCTGGTACTGTCCCTTTGGTGATTATCTCCTTCTAAATCGCTCATCCGTTCACTTTTGCTATTGCACGAATAGCAGGTACTATGCGAGTAACTAAGTCCGTCAGTCGAAGAACCCACAGCGCTTTGCTCGAATCGAATTCGTCTGAGACCTTCCGAGCCCGTGATAGATCGGTTCTCTGAGTAATTCGAATTCAGTTTAAGTTTCAGAGTAGAAATACATGGCAAGGCTTGTGCTTGATCTTCAGGAAGGTCATCAGCTGGGGTTCCTTCGTTGTTCGGCATCTATACAGGCGCAGCTCTAGTTTCACAGCATCAGTACAGTCGTGTGAAAATACCGTATAGTAGTATATATATTCACCAAATAGCCCGGGATCGCGAGAAGGAGTTGATACCGCCGAATTCGGGGGTACGGGGAGAGGCTAAGCAGCTAGAACACAACCGGCGGCCTTGATTTAATGTTTTTCACCTTGCAGGGCCTGGTTCGGGAAAAGCCGTAGACGTCTTTGTTGTTGTTGTGGATAAGGAAAGGGGGAGTAATCCGCCGAGAAACCTCAGTGTCATGAGTGGCTTATATCCTGGTCATTAGACTTTCTCCAGGTGCCTGAAAAGGGGTTGGCGTCTATATCTCTGTCAAAAAGAACGATTAAATGGTCTTCTTCATTACTCATTCCCGTCATCCTTCCTTGGTGGTGTTCATTTTTGTGCCTCGATATTCAACTTTATGCAACCATCATGTCCCGATGAGCTTGCCATCTCTCTCATCTAGTAGGCGCGATTTCGACGGTGTAAATTGCAGTCGTTGAACACGGGTACAGTGGCTCG